TGATACTACTTAATCCTGATAATAAATATTTTTTCAATAAGTCATTTGAAATCCATTATTAAATTAAGGATCTTAAGTATACTAGGTTTTGTCCAGTACAAAAGAAATAAAAGAAATAGTTCTTGCCCATTAAGAACTTAAAGTTCAATATAAAGGTAATCTAGCTTCAAGTTAATAAGTGTTATTGGCACTTAGTAAGCACTCAAAAATATTCATTACTCTCATAGTGTACCATGCCAGAACAAACTGTGCCTTGAACCATTTCCGGCCCTCTGTGCCTGTAGGCTGTTGGCACTGAAGAAGGTTGCATAGTGGGGAAAACAACAACAACAACTCGTTACATGAATGCTCATTTGATACCTTCTTGATTATCAGGGCTGACTGATTTGTCCAAGAGTATAGGTGGTCCCCCACCAGTCCCCCTGCATTCTTCTCCCTATACATGTCTCCTGAAACTTTTAGGAAGGATAGTCTTTCCAATCAGAGAATCAATCTCTTCTAAAGTCTGAGGTTCTATGTCATAGAACCACTCCTCTCCCTTCCCCAAACCAAATAAGCTTTCCAGATTTACCTGTAGCAAATCTATACTTACTGATCTACCTGACTTGTGCTTTTCTTTGTCTCTGTAACTTGAATGGAAGGAAAGTTACCAATGAGTCTCTTCTGTTTCCTCTTTCTACCAAATGCTTGAATTGGCTATGTGATGTATTGGGAGCCATTTCCCTTCCCTAGCAAGTCTTTGCTCAGATCTGTTCTGCTGTTAGCCAAGACAGCTCCAGAAGCTCAAAAGCCATTTCTATGTTTTACAGAGAAAGAAAATAAAAGTAGATATATTGACTCTTTCTCCTAAACTCTGAAGGTCATTTCCTAGTACTTTAGGTGTACATTACTTCAGAGTCTAATAGTGATGCCTTTGGAAAAGTACAGGTGTTCTTATAGTACATATTAAGCATCATTAAGAGGGCAGTTAAAATTATCTGTAAAAAAGATGAAAATGAGTTTCTAGTCATGGCTACATTAGAATATCAGATTTTGAAAAGGATTAGTAAGTTAGCCTTTAGTTAATGAATAGTTAGTTAATATAAGAAATGCAGAGACATTCAG